AAACGATGATGATGATGTATGTTCAGGGCTGCATTACAACATTGATTGTTCAGCTCACTGGTATCTAAGCCTTCCGCTGTGCTATCTTATACCTTGTATTGAAAGGTCGGTTCTTGTTCTGGTCTGCACCTATACGGTATGCAACAGCTGGCGAGTATTTGAGGACCCTCGGGCCTCCCAGCCATAATGGGGAGGAGCGTGCGTGAGTCACTTATGTATCCCAATTTGACTTGCCGGGGGAATAGGAACCGGACTGTTGCTCCCCAGAATGGCAGGAGCCAGAACCCGGAGGTTCTGTTTTAAAAAAAAATAAAAATAAAAAATTGAGGACCCACCGAGGTTCCTTTTTCCCCTACTGTTCTCCTCCATCCACTCTCCTCCTCCTCTTCTTCCCTCCTTCCCTTCTCTCCCCCCTCCTCCTCCTCCTCCTCTTCACCCCTCCTTCCCTTCCCTGCCCGTTCTACCTCCTTCCTTCCCATACCTCTCTCTCTCTCTCTCTCTCTCTCTCTCTCTCTCTCTCTCTCTCTCTCTCTTTCTTTCTCTCTCTCTCTCTCTCTGTGTGTGTGTGTGTGTGTGTCACCTGCACACTTGCTCCTGTTGCCGTCCTCATACAACCCTAAAGTCGAACACAAGCTTCACTGTTGGACTCAGTGTAAGATTGATATACACCAGTTCTATGATTCAGGGTGTAGGGTTCAGGCTTTAGTTCAAGTCTCAACTATTGAAACCTGTAGGACACTCGGGTCAGTAAATATGTTGATTAAACTTGATTTCTTGATCTGTACTATTTTGTATGGTTGGATTGGGGAAAAAAAGGTGGAGGGCATACGTACATTCAGATTTCAGAACTCATTTGTTTGATGCTGTCTTCTTTTTGGACTATGTGGACTGTGATCATTCGCCGCAGTGCGTGCTGAGGTTGATGTGGATCGCAACGAGGCACAAACTTTGCCGCCAATGTCGGTAGAGGTAAGACACGAATTGAATCGTTTCTACTACCTCGACTGTTTTTTTTTCTTTTTTCGCTTTCAAATTTTAATAAAATTCTTCACCCTCAATCTCAACAACGATGGGGCCGTCCTCACTTTCCCTTCTTATCCCAGATGTTTGACCAGGAACTATGCTTTCAATGCATGTCCCATGTGAACAACTCACAGGTGCTTGAGAGCTGAAGGCAACGTGTATAAAGACATAGCAAATGTCATTCTGAGGCGAAGGGTGTACCGTGTCCATCTATTTTCAAGGCATACTCACAATTTTCTGGGCATACTCTCACTAACACTTTCCTTGATGCATTGATAGCAATCGCAGTTGGAGCTAGATGCATCTGAATGCAGTCACTTCCAAAGAGCAGTGGAGCAGTGGATAAAGTCCTAGTGCGAGTTCACCGTCTGGCGGATCAAACTCCTTGCTGCATTTAAAGTTCGGGTGATTGATGGTATGGCCGGGACGACGAGGACGTGGAAAAGATAAGGCGCACTGGTAGCAGCGGTTGCAAAAATGTGAAATACAGAGTGCAAAAGTGTGCAAGTCTGCCGTCAATTTTTTTTTTCGCCATCGTCTAAGCTTGCTTTCTTTTTGTTTTTGTTTTATTTTTTTTCGCCAGCGACTTTGTATGTTCGCAAGAGATGTTGGTCAGGAAGAGATATACGAGCTTCGGCATTGGTAGAGAGCTATGGTGTTCCCCCTAACACAGCGCACCCTCATTATGGCCATACCGGACTGGAAAGATACCTTGTATACATTCAATATCAGGTTGCATTACGTTCGTGGAAAGATGGTAGGATGGTGATTGTTAAGGAGGCGGGAGGATGGAGGAGTGCCCAGAGGTAGAAGGGGGAAGGCGAGGAATGACTTTCACTATTATTTTCAGTTTACCCTCCTCCTCCTCTTCCTCCTACGCTGCTTCTCCCGTTGTCTGGCTGCTGGTTTATTTTTGCTGTCTCTTTGCGATTGTCATTCGTTAAGCAATTCGAGTTTCATGCATGATGTGCTTGATGTAAGCTACTGTGACTCGGGGCTCATTACATGTTTCTCTTTGTGGTTGGTTCATTGAACTTGATTTTTTTTCGTGCATGTGGATGGTTTTGCCCTCCCCCTCCCTTTAGTCTCTCTCCTCTCCAAGTGAGAGGCAGCATTGTGCGTCTCTGTAGTTGGATCTAAAATTTGAATCTCTAAATAAAATTTACAAACCATGTTGAAACTTAAAAACTTAATAGAGTTTTTGGATCTGGGAATTCTCACCTCTTTTGCCATTTCATGCCTGTTCTTCATAAGCGAATCTCAACTCGATTTTATGAGCCTTTTCCTGCCTTTAGTATTTACCTCCGAAACGACGGCTGCCAATGAGATCTGTCAACAGCGGCCGTCACCGGGCCCAGCCCCCGAATTTTTAGGAGTATGCTATTTTCCCATTTTCCCAACAGCGGGAAAGCTAGGGGTGGTTTAAGGCCCCACCGGGAGCTGACAGGAAATGGCATGCATGTTGTTCTGACTGTCACCCACTGACATTCGTCTTTCAGGTTTTCAATTTCGAGTTTTAATTTCCAGTCAAATTTGAAATTACGTGCAAGACTGCAAGTTTCATTTTCTAATAACCCGGTCGACTCGATGGTGTGGACTGAGCATGTGTCCTGTGTCCTGTGTGTTGTGTCTCCCTCCGAGTTGTGATCAGGCTGTCGCACTGCTTCGCAAGAAATTCCGAATAAGGGTTTCAGCAGGCGGAGATATTCCGGCTCCATTAAGTTCATTTGCAGACTTGGCAGCGCTGCCGTATCCAATTAATATCTCATCCATTGAATCTAATAATTCTATAAAATTCACTCATTTTGGTGAGGAAATTGCAATATGTTTTGTTGAAAAAAAAAAAAAAAAAACAGATTCTACAAGGTGTTTGTTCATTTAACCTCATTCAACTTCATTGTCATTGACTGCTACTGATCGTGTTTGCTACTTTCTTGAGTGTCTTGTTTGTTTGGACTCACAGCTGTGTCGGTATGCCTTGATTTAACGTAATTTCCTTGATGTACTTGGACTCAAATTACGACTTTCCTTGGTGTCCTTGTACTTGACCCTGGAGCGTTTCATTCCAGGAAGGCCCGGTGTCGGTATGCACTTATTCTCTCTATGTCTGCATTCAATCACTTTTTTTTTTTTTTTTTTTTTGCGCCTCTTTTTCCGTCTTTTTTCTAGATTTGTATGTGCATTCCCATGCACTGAGGCTCTCTGAAGAATGATAAGATCTGATTGCTATGATAACCCTTGCCCCTGTTGGAGCACTGCTGCCTGGGGCTGCCAGCTGGTCCTTGGTCTGTTGTTGTTATCGCTGCTGCTGTCGGTGTGGTTGGTGTAGATACTACCATTGTTGTTGTTTTCGCTGCTGCCGTCATCGTTTGTCGCACTTGGCAACACACTGGTTGTTCTTGTGGTGGCGACGATAATCCCCTTGCTGTGAGTGTTGTTGTGGCTGTTCATATGCTTGTGCTGGTCCTTGTATGGATGTCATCAGGGGACTGTTGATATGGGTATCTAAATTTCTAAAATTGCTTTTTTTTTTTTTTTTTTTTCCCACGTTCAGCTGGCCTACGTTAGCCTTTTCTTATCCTCTCCTTCTGCGTTCATCTTCATTCTACACTCCGTACTTTCCCTTACTTCGTCTTTCTTTGTTTGTCTTCTCTCTATCCCTCTTCCCTGTGTTTATCCCCTCCCCCCTTACTCCGCCTCTTTCTCACAGCGTACAAGTGGGCCGTTATGGCACACGGGGACGCTTGAAGCTGGCACTCGTGTGCCTCATCAACGTGGTGATCCTTGTACGTGAGAGGCAAAGTGCAGTAGAAGTCCAAAGAAGAATGAGAAAAATGAATGGTTTCAGTGTTATCTTCATGTTCCTCTTGTTTTTTTTATTTTTATTTTCACCGTTTGTTTCGCACAGTGCGCTTGTTTAGTTCATAGATTTGTGACAATATATATATTGTCACAGCCCCTCGTTTGTTGTCCTCTTCTCCCTCTCTGCCTACGGTTTACCGGGCAGTTCTATTTGACGATATATACTACGACTTCGCTAGCTTCCTGCTACGGTTTTCTCCGG